AAAGCTCTCGAGATGTGCTATAAGAATATGCAATGAAAAATGGGGTGTTCCATTTAAAAAAATTAATGTGACCTTGACCTGACCTTCGCTACGCAACCCAAGGTCAAACTGATGTGATCAGTAAATACATCTTTTTAAACGCCACAACTTTTACCTGAAACATTTTTTTCTAAAATGCTTAGTTTTCGAGATATTTCACCGGTCCGGGACTTTTTGAACACCCTGTATATACAAATCAATAATAAATTAATATTGATTTCAATGTTACATAACATAAAATCTATTTTTTTATGAAAATGTGTTATGATGATAGCAATATAATTACTTTCCAGTAACTCTTTATATTTTTGCAGTATCATATTTTCGCTGTGGAGAGAATTATTTTCTGTTGTCAGTAATGAAACGCGGTGTTTCAATTCATTTAAAGTGTCTAATTTACTAGTCACTTTCTCATTATTAGGAATCTCATCGATATGCTAACATAAAGAAAATATGTTTGTTAAAAAAGTACATTATTGTACAATTATATTTCCACTATAATTCATCACTTACATCTGGAGCGGGTCGTTGTATTTTCTTCCACTTAGCCCAAGTATCCTGCCGCGCATTGAACATTTTCTAAAAACAGTTGTTCATGTTAATACTGTGACGATTTTTATTATCAATAGTGGCGGACAGTCGTCTGTCCGCCTCGTCGACAAACTACCGCGATCCCCGGATCTCGTTTCGGGCTCGTTAATGCTAGTTGGGCGCCAGGTGCGGTAAGGCCGCACCTCCTCACTAATATTCACTCGCCAAGATCTCTAAATTACCGCCCGTCTCTGATATCGCGGGGACAGAACGGGACCGGTAGCTCTTCTTTTATTTTAGTCGGAGTAGGGCTGGGTTTATTCTTTTATGGTTGGGAGCCGAGGGAAAAGAAGGCACTCGAAACTTCGGTATAGATCCTTTATTATATCGGTACAGGCGTATTCCGGGCGCTATCCCTATCTCGCTCGTGTCGATACGTTCGCTAATCAATGTGCTCCTAATTTGGATCTCTCAAATAAGTTCGTGCGACCACTCGGCATGCGGTAGACTACTGACGACAATTCCACGACAACGATAATAATTGCAAACGAATGGGAGGTCTTACAATTGGTCGAACTCTTCCTCGTCTTCCCTCCGGGTCGCTCGCCTCGCCTCTCGCTGTTCGCCTCCGCCTCGATATCGCCGCTCTGTGCCCGAGCTTCGCCGCTAGGAGGTTCAGGACCGTGGTCGCTCACTCTCCAGGAGTCCCGCGAGATATACTTGTCCTCGAGAGATCACTCTAGTATCGCGATACTCCAGGAAACTCGGACTTCCGTGCGGTATGTCCTGAGTCTTACGAGAGTACGGTACACAAAAGAAAACGCAATGTTCGAAAGTCACGAGAGTCGTGTGCAAAAACTATCGTCGATCACGAGCAAGTCTCTTGATCTCGCATTATTCTCGCTTTTTCTCTGCTCGGCGAACCTCCCCCCCCTCTCTCTCTCTCTCTCTCTCTCCCTCTCCCTCTCTCTCTGTTGTCTCGCCGGGATCTCCGTGTTTCCGTGCCACCTGCTTTGTTGCCAGCTGTTGCGAGTCTCCTTGCCTCTCCGTCCCGCGTCTAGCAGCGTGCTGTAAACAAATATCGCCAGCGGCAGCCGAAATCGGAATGATAACACGTTCTTATGTACGAGAGTTAAAGTACTGTCACTTACCATTTAAACGGCGACTTTCCTTGAGGCCGATAACGTTTCCTCTTTCTTCTGGTTCCCTCGGTGTCCTGGAGTCTCTGCCCTTCGTGTTCGACGAGGAGAGTTGGGGGCACATTTTCGTAGGGCGCGATGACCATCCCACTTGCAGAACCGCATACGTTTCGCTAATCAACCCCCCTCTACGCTCGATCGATATGACCGCGGAAAGCTGTCGTTTTTAATCACCAAAATATCCGGGAGTGCTATGCACCCCCCCCCCCTTTTTCCGGTATACGCGAAATCAGGCGAACGGAACTCTCTCGTCCTTGTGACGGGCGCCCTTCGGCTGCCACGTCACAATACACATTGTAGAATCAGAATATTACGAAAGAAGGTACTTTGCATTCAATTACGAATATCATTTACCTTTTACTTTTCGTTCTTAAACTGTTTTAATGGTCTCTGCAGCGGCAATGGTTCATTTTCTTGCTCAGATGTAGAGCTGTTGTCGTCTCCGAAGAACTTCTCTTTGTATACTTCTTTCGTTCACTTCTTGTTATGCATTTGACCCCATACTTTTCAAAGTTGGCGACAACTTCTGTCATTTCTGTCCAAGCTGCACATAAAATTTATTACATAGGATCGTAGTGTATACAACAATGATTATCACTGTCCTTACATTAAAATAACAGAATAAAAAATATTTACTTACTATCATGTGCCAAAATAACTGCAACAGTAACCTCCCAGTCCGCTTTTCTTAATACTTTATCCATAGTTGCAGAATGCATCTTGATAACACAGTTTTTCGGCCATTTTAATTGAATTTATGTTCCTTGATCTATGATGCCTTGCAAACCATCATCGTCAAGTTGAGAAATTATCCACTCTTTGTACGCAATAGATATTTTATTGTTCTCGTTAGGAAAGCCGCAAACAATGTATTTGTCGTTTGACACGATATCCATATCATCAAGTAAATTTGTTTACTGTATTTTCAATAGACTAATGCCCAAAAAGCTCAGACTACGACCTGCTACGATAAATCAATTAGAAACACGCACAGTAAATATA